GCTCACAGCAACCTCCAACTCCTGGGCTCAAGCGAGTCTCCTGCCTCCGCCTCCCAAGTAGCTGGGACTACAGGCGCCCGCCACAACTCCTGGCCATTTTTTGGTTGCAGCTATCATTGTTGTTTGGGGGGCCCGGGCTGGGGATTCGAACTCGCCACCTTAGGTATATGTGGCTGAGCCACAGGCGCCAAGCCAGCAACCTCAAACTCTTAAGTGATTCTCTTGCCTCAGCCTCCCAAGGAGCTGGGACTACAGGCATCTGCCATAACGCCCTGCTATTTTTGGTGGTAGTTGTCATCATTTGGCAGGCCCGGGCTGGATTTGAACCCGCCAGCTCCAGTGGATGTGGCTGGTGCCCTAGCCACTGAGCTACAAGTGCCAAGCCATTGGAGTGAAATTTTTGAGATACAGTCTCACCCTGTTGTCCTGGGTAGAGTGCCATTGTGTCATAGCTCACAGCAACCTCAAACTCTTGGGCTTGAGCAATCCTCCTGCCTCACCTTCCAAGTAGCTTGGACTACAGACACCTGATACAACACCCAGCTAGTTTTTCTATCTTTAGTAGAGATGTTTTCCTCACTCTTGCTTATGCTGGTCTCGAACTTCTGAGCTCAAGGGATCCTCCCGCCTCTGCCTCCCAGAGTACTAGGATTACTGGTGCGAGCCACCAGGCCCGTCTGGAGTGGAATTTCTCTTAACTTTCATGCAACTGCCAGACTGTTTTCCAAATTTTACATCCTCACTAGCAGTGAGTGAGGTTTTAAAATTCTCTATATCCACACCAACACTTATTGGCTGTCTTTATTATAGCCATCCTAGTAGGTGTGGTTTTTACATATTTAAATGGTTACTAAAAAAGAAAAACCCAGACTATGTCACATAGACATATTTAGAATTTAGGCAACACCTAAAATATTTACTGTCAGGACCTTTATGAAGATTGCCAACCCCTGGTCTGGGTCATTGTGCTGTGTGACTTTGTCCCTAAGTTTCCCAGAAAAGCAGCCTTCGTTTTTATCTTTCCATGTCAAGGGAATAGACTGCTCTTTCTAGGAAAGCATCACTTATCCAGAAGGGCTCAGCTCCAAAACACCTCTCTCTAGAAAAGACATCACCTTCCTCACTTCTGCTGAGAGAGTCCTGGCTCCACTCCTGGGTCTGACTCTGCCCCAGAGGGACCACACACACCTCCTTGGGAGGCCTCACCTCACCTCTCCCTTTTCTTTCCCTCTCCCTGCTGGCAGTCTAAGGAGTCATCCTCAGTCCTGAGCTGTGATATCTCCAAGAATAACAAATACATCGTGACAGGCTCGGGGGACAAGAAGGCCACTGTGTATGAGGTGGTCTACTGAGAACCCCTCTTCTACATGCCCAGCCTGACTTGTGAGGGACAGGGAATCCTGGACAGAGAGCCAGCAGCTCCCACTCCAGCCATGCTTGTGAGCGCTAAGCCCATGTGATGTATGGCTGACTACCTCCCTGCTGGGTTTGTGGCTAAGGGGCAAGGGATGTTGGGGGAAATAAAGGTATTTATCACAGCCGCCTTTCTGCCTTCGGCTGGGGAACCAGCAAACATTGCTTCGCTTGGGCACCGTTACTGGGATGAGGCAGCTTCCTGATTGTGTAACTCTAGGTAATGAGGATTGATTCCATGTGAAGGACACTACTAAGACAGTTGCATTGGGCATGATCAAGTAGATGCTGCTGGGTAACAGATAGGGCCAAGGGCCAACTCCCCAGTTCAGTGATTTTGAGACAGAATTTCAAGCTGTAGCCCTGGATAGAGTGCCATGGCATTGTCACAGCTCATAGCAACCTCCAACTCTTGGGCTCAAGCCATCCTCTTGCCTCAGTTTTCTAATTTAGTAGAGACAGGGTCTCTCTCTTGCTCAGGCTGGTCTCTTTAACTCCTAGAGCTCAAGCCATCCACCCACCTCAGCCTCCCAGAGTGCTAGGATTATAGGCGTGCGTCACAGTGCCCAGCCCATCTCAGTGGTTTAACACAACAGGGGTTTATTTCTTGCTCTCACTCAGGTGGCATGCAGGGCTTTACTCCAAGCAGTCCCTCTGGGCTCCAGACAGGAAGTTTCCCTACCTTAGTATGTAGCTTCAGAGTCTGAAACAGCATGGAAAACAAGCTGCCCACTGCTTTCTGGAATGATAGCTTATGCTTATAATCCCAGCACTTTGTTTCAAAAAACCAAAACAAAACAGCATTACTGTCACCCTGGGGTTGAAGGCCATGGTGTTATCATAGCAACCTCCAAACTCTTAGCCTTGACTGGGAGCTATGGTTAACACTTGTAATCCTAGCACTCTGGGAGGCCTAAGTTCAATAATTCAAGACCAACCTGAGCAAAGCAAGACCCCAGTCTCTACTAAAAATAGAAAAAAACTAGCTGGGTGTTGTGGTAGGCACCTACAGTTCCAGCTACTTCAGAGGCTGAGTCTAGAGGATCTCTTGAGCCCAAGGTTTGAAGGTGCTGTGAGCTATGATGCCACAACACTCAACTCCAGAGCAACAGACTTAAAAACAAAACAAAAAAACCCCCAAAACTCCTGGGTTCAAGCAATCCTCCCACCTCAGCCTCCCAAGTTGCTGGGACTATAGGCACCTAGCTATTTTTAGAGATGGGGTCTTGCTCTTGCTCAGGCTGTTCTTAAACTCCTGAGCTCAAGCAATCCACCTGCCTTGACCTCCCAGAATGCTAGGATTATAGGTGTGAGCCATCATGCCTGGCCTCTGAAAAAAAACTTTTTAAATTAGCTGAGTGTGGTGGCACATACCTATAGTCCTTGCTCCTTGGGAGGCTGAGGCAAGAGGATGGCTTGAGCCCAAGAAGTGGAGGCTACAGTGAGCTGTGGTGATGCCACTGTACCAGTGAGACCCAGCCCCCTCAAAACTAAGTACTCCAGTCCCAGATTTCCTGTATCTTTCACTGGTAGCCCTCGGATAAAATCATCCCAAGGGTCAGACTAAGTGCAAGGGACAAGGAGCTATGTACACATGGCTATTTGGGGTGCAGATGCACTTCCTGTGAGACCCAGAAATGATTCCTGAGAGCCTGACCCACAGTACCATGTTCAACAAATGTCATTGTCCAGGAGAGGTGCTGGCTAATCTGAGCCTGATTAGATGAGAAACAGCCAATTGAAGGTCTAGAGAAGCCTGTGCTGGGTGGAGAGGAACAACATGTGCTATGGCTAAGAATGAATTTGGCTGGCAGATGCAGGACCAGCCAGGTTCTGGGGGGAATGAGGTGTCCAAGTGAAGAGTAAGCTTGGAACAGGAAGTAGGTGGCAATCAAGAGTTCTGGAATGCTGGGGGGTGGGTGGGGGGCAACAGCAAGGATGTTGCTGGAACATGTTAGCTGGAAATGGCAGGGAAACAGAGGGCCCACTTAGAGTGAGAGTTTCTGAAGATGCTCAGAGGTGGGATAATTCTCCAGGTTAAGGAAACTAGACCCACTGAAGACATCTAGGCTTCTTTCTAGCCTGGAAAGGGTGAAAGTTGTTTTCTGAGCCCTATTTGGTGTGGAAGGGAGGCCAACCAGCAAAACTATCACTAACCAATGATTCAGGTCACTAGGGCTTGACTGTTCTCTGGGATGGGGTCATCCTGGGCCCTGTAGGATGCTGAGCAGTATCCCTGCCTATAATCACTCCATGCCAGGAGTAACCCCCCAACCGAGGGTTGATAACCATATCGAGGTTTGATAACCATAGATCTCCCCAGATATCACACAAGGGAACAGAATCAATTATTTGAGACCCACTGGTCTAATAGGACAAGTTGTGGGAAGGACCTCACATCCCACCCCTGGAATCACACAGGAAGCACCACAGGACAGGTTAGCTCAGCGCAGCAGGCTAGAAAAAGTCCTTCCAAACTTCAGTTAGACAAGCAGGGCTAGGACGGGGATAGGACAGGATACACCTGCTCTGCTTTTCCTGGTTGCTTTATTACCTGTGACAAAGATGAGAGTCTGAAAACCACTGACTCTTGCAATGCATGGATGATCCTTCCCACTTCCCTCCACCACCAAAAAAAAAAAAAAAAAAAAAAAAAAAAAAAGGAGCTGGAGTTGAGTGACAGAAGGAGGCCCCTCAGTAGGTGATCTGGTACACTGAGGCATGGTCCCCAGACCCTGTGATGATCAGGCGGTTGTTGGAAGACACGTCACAACACATGATGGAGGAGGTCTCGGGTACCTAAGAGGGCAATGGGTCAGGGTGAGCCCTAATCTCCATCCATGGGTTCATCATGGCCCCTCTGGGGCCAACGCAGGGTCCTGCCCCACCGAGGTACCTGGAACACCTTCATCCCTGTGGGCATACTATGGATGCTGACCAAGTCGTCCATGCCAACGCTCACCCACCACTGGCCTGGGAGTAAACAGAGGTGCCCAGTGGTGGGAAAGCTTAGCTGCTGAGGGTCAGATCCCACCTTTCCCCCCTGCATTCCCCTGCCAGGGCATCCCCAGGAATGGTGGCTGCTTTAGGGTGTTCTAGAGGGACATAGGGTGGTGTCTTGTGGAAGGCTAGGGGCCACAGGAGATTTCCCACAACTGCCACTTACCAAAAGGGGAGAACTTGAGGCCCAGGACAGTGCTGCCATTATCTCCCACCACGTGTGTCCTGTCTCCACTGGTGTGCTGCAGCCACTGCTGCCCATTAGCCATGCCCAGCAGCACACAGTCCTCTTGGGGGCTGTGGGTTAGGCTCATTATCTGGGGGAGGGAGACAGGCAGCATACAAGAACCTAGTCAAGTCCCAGCCTAGCCCAGGAGGTAGGCAAGAGCCCAGGTACCCACCCTGCAGGCTAGCCACCTGACCACTTTGTAGTTGTGCTGCCCCAGGCCAAGAAGCCTCACCCTGTTGGTCTATAAAATAGGCACAATCCTCTCTACTTTGTACCTGATACTGAATTAAGGGTGTTCAACATTATGTGGGCAACAGCGGTGAATATTCCTAATGACCCTCATTCTTACAGTATTACCACGACTCATGACCAGTCCCCTTCCCACCTTCAGTTGTCTGACCAAGCAGCCCTCACCCCCACCCTCACACCTGGGACTCATATTGGTACTCCTGAAGCTGTTTCACCATCCTCTGGTCCCAGCACCGTAGACAGGCATCCAGACCCCCTGTCCAGATGTTGTAGTTTTTGACCACCATGCTTTTGGCTCCATTTGGGTAGGCCATGAAATCCCTGGCCAGAAGAGACAAGGGGTGGGGGTCAGGACAAGACTCTAGGAGTTGGGCCCCACGAACCACCACCACTACATATAGGCACTGAAGGGACAGTGTCACCACCCAAAAATCTCTGCCTTCACAGAACAGATGGCAAAGCCAGTAGAAACTGTACACCAAATCCCAATGCTGCCTCTCTCCATCCACCTGTAGCCATGAAGAACCTATAGCATCCTCCCCCATCCTCCCTCAGTCTACCTTCACTTTGAGGTGGCTCTAAGGGATCCCTTCAAACAGGGTATGGGAATGTGGGTGTGGGTGGGTGGGCTGTCGTATTAGCCATCAACGCCTGGAAACATTTATATATCATTTTACATTTTTACAACAAATTAGCCCTTCTAAGAAACTTCTGACTTTGGGGTTATCACACTCTGTTGAGCTGGAAAACTGAGGCAGACAAAAAAAAACTGTCTTTTCCTGCCTGCAAGGAAATAGCCCAGTCAACACCTGAATCTGTATCTTCAACTTTCTCAAATCCAAGTTTAAAGTGGCAAAGGCCTTTTGGCTTTGAGAGTGCTGGATCTCTGCCTCAGGGTGCTGGAAACAGGACCCAGCCCTTCCTGGTGCCCCCAACCCCAGCCTGGGCCATACCTGATCACGCTGTGATTCCGCAAGTCCCACACCCTGACTGTGCCACTGGAGAAGCCGGCAAAAATCAGGTTATCATCAAGGTCGGCAGCCAGGGCCTGGCAGGAGAGACCTTCACAGGGCAGCTCACCTTTCACATGCAGGGAGGACGCTGCCAGGTCCCACACGCTCACACTGGCCAGGTTGTAGCCACCTGTGAGCAGGGCCCTGCTGTTTGAGGAAAGCAGGCAGGTGCGAAGATAGGCCCCTGGGGTCTGGGATGGGCAGAGTCACCATGAATAGGCAGCTCTCACAGACCTCTTGAAGCCCAGCCCCACTAGAAGCGTACCCTGCCACCCCTCACCTGTACAGGCAGGTGGCTCTCATGGAACCTGTCCTTGGCCATCTGGCCAGTCAGGCTCCATATCTTGACACCACCCCTGCTGCAGGTAAATGCGTGCCGCGTGAAACTGCTGACCGTTGTGGCGAGCACCGACTCCCCATGTTCCAGTGTCCGCTTCTTTTCCAGTTTGAATGGCACAGCCGTCCTCTTGGATTGCAAGGACATGGTGTCTGGCCTCTTCCATGCATCTTCGAAGTCCTCAGGATCCCAGGATCTTGGGAGGGTAGGCCTTGAGTAACTGGCCTGCCTGTGAGCCCCTCAGTGGAAGCCATGAATCCAGCCCCAGAGGGGCTTTGTTCTTTACTGGATGTTGAGGTCTTCTTAGGCCTTTGTTTCTCTACTATATTCCCCCCCAAATCTTACCAAATAGGCCCCCTCTTCCTTCTGCCTGGAATGCTTTGCCCCATAAGGGAGAACTCCTATTCATCCTTTAGCATCCCAACCATTAAGCCTCTTCCTCCAAGAAGCCTACTCTTCCCCCTATCTGGGCTTTCCCAGCCTCAAACTACAAGATTGGGACTATTTGCATCCAGCTCTAACACAGCCCTTCCTCCTTCCCTAAACCCTTTGAACCAAGGGTGGTTGTGAGAAAAGGAGCAGTGATGGACTCTGCAGGTCCAGGTGGAGAGAACAGCATAGTGGTGCTGGGAGGGGGGGAGACAAACCTACACCTTTGGTTCCCACCACCTGTCCAAGAGTAGGTAGCACGGACTCCCTGCCACCCCCCTCCCCAAGCAAACAGTGCAGACACTTACATGGGCTTCAGAAATGAAAAGGGTTTTCCCACAGCCTCCTGCAGGTGGGTGACATCACAGCTGCCCCATTCCGCCCACTTGTGCCCACTGCCCCATCCCAGCAGCCTTGATGGGGTAGTGCCAGGTCAGGCCTGGGTCTTACCTGGGGCATACCCTGGCTATTGCTCCCTTCTTGGGAAAGGTTTGGGGGCCGAGTGGAGGTCTTGGGCAGATTGGGAGCTGGACAGAGACAACAGGGCCTAAGCAGTGTGCACTGGCATCAGAGAGCTGGCTGCACCTTCCACCCAGCCTGGTGTCAACCCTTTCCTACTGGGATTACTCGAGGCATCCTCGGTACACAGTTCTCTTCCTTCATATGAACCTGGGGCCTTGCTTTCCTGCCCAAAGGGAAGGGAAGAATCTGTTAGGCCAGTTGACTTGTCCAGGGCATCAAAACCAGAAAACCTTAGGGATACCCAGGCAGTGCCTAGAAGAGGACTTGTCAGAAGCCTGGGGTCTCAAGTCCTCCTTGCCCCAGCAGAGCTAAAGAAAGAGTCTCAGTGCATGGTCCTGGAAACCCCAAACTCAGATTGTACGCTATTCTAACACAGCCTGTCTCACTAGAGTCCTTCTGGGGGATCCAAGGGACAAGGCAGACAGCAGGATGCAGGTGGAGTAGGCAGATCCCATAGAAACTCCCCACCTTGACCCAAGGGAGCCCAACCAAGATAGCCACCCAGCCCAGAAGCCCACCCCTGTGGATACAGACCACGTGTTATTTACTTACCAACCCTGGTGCCTGCTCTGTCACTATGACAACAGGAGAAGAGGTGAGGGGTGGGGAGATAGTAGGTTCACTGTACAGCCTCAAGACATAGCACAAGACCACCCCATTTCCCCTCACTCCCAGGGAGACTCACTTCTGTGTCTCAGGTCTTTGGACTCATCATGGACACCAGCAAAAATCTGCCAGAGCTGCTCGGTCAAAATATCTTGCCCAAACTGGGGTTCATTATCCCAGGGCAGCTGAGTTTCTAGCTGTGTGTCTGTTCCAAAGGGCCGCTGGAGCCAGTCAGATGACCTCATGGCCAGGACCTCTTCGAAGTTGGACTCCTGCGGGGTCTTAGGCTCTAAGTGCTGGGGAACTTCAGGGCTAGCTGGACTGGCAGATGAGATCTCGGCCACCTGGAACAGCAGGCACAAGGGTAGTAAAAGACGCAGGGATACACCCTTCACCCAAGCCAGGAGCTGGACCACTGGTCCTTGTGAACACAGAAACCTACCTCCATGGATGAAATGCTCTGGGGTTGGCTACGGCTCTCCACAATCTGTAAGAGGTTTCCTACCTAGAGGGAAGTCGGCAGTTAAATGTTAATGCAGTTAAGGCTTTGTAACCAACAGTGCACCATTTTCTCCATCTATAAAATGGGGAGGTACAACCTACCTTTTTTTTTTTTTTTTTTTTTTATATACAGAGCCTCAAGCTGTCCCCCTGGGCAGAGTGCCGTGGCATTACAGCTCACAGCAACCTTCAACTCCTGGGCTCAAGCGAGTCTCCTGCCTCTGCCTCCCAAGTAGCTGGGACCACAGGCGCCCGCCACAATGCCCAGCTATTTTTTGGTTGCAGCCATCATTGTTGTTTGGCGGGTCCGGGCTGGGGATTCGAACCCGCCACCTTAGGTGTACGTGGCTGGCGCCTTAGCTGGTTGAGCTATAAGCGCTGAGCCGGTACAACCTACCTTGAACTAAGGTTTTGGGGCAATTAACATCCTGCATAAAGTTCTCAATACATGCAAAAGCCAGCCTTGGTGGTTGGTGATAAAAATCTAATCCTGATGGCTGGTCACCACTATGACACAAATAGATTCAAATTCTACCTGGATTTTTTAGGATTTCTCAAAATGAAAATCTCCAACATCACTATCCTTCATTTAAAATGGCTTTGAAACACAAAACAGTGCAGACATATACCTCCCAGCGTGAGGAAGACATTTTAATTTGCTTAAACAAACCTTGGATAAAGATACTTAAAAACTCAGTTATCTACCAGGAAAAAGGAATTGGAACAGGACAGCAGGGGAAACCCATAAGTGTGTAACTTTATGGCCTTTTTATTTAACAACAAAAAGCCATATGACCACTACTGAATCCAAACTTAAAAAGTAGTTTCCTAATAAATGGGATAAAAACTAGACCAGCACCATCCAATACAAGTATAACTGGAATTGTGCACATGAATACAAAACGTTCTAACAGCCGCATTCAAAGTATAAAGACCTTGGTGGCACTAACTCTAAATATATTTTATTTAATCCAATAGGTCTAAGATATTGTTCCTGTGTACAACTCACAAAAAGATCGTGGAGCTTATTTTTTTCATTCTTTCAAAGTGGGGTGTGTAATTCATATCATAGCTTGTCAGAGTTTGGATCAGATCCTGGTGGAGTGCCCAGGGGCCAGGGCGTTGGTCATCACATCACAAAAGCAGCTGAGTGTTCCAGGGTTTTTTTTTTTTTTCCCTCTTCTGTAACAGTTTTCCCTCAGCAGAGTAGATATGGGAGGGGCTAGGAGGCAGGACCCTCCCTGGGAGCTCTGGGCTGCTGCCTCCTGGGGCAGCCAGTGATGGATTCCTGGGCTGTGCCAGCCCAGCGGCACAAAGCCCAGGGGAGCCCTCTCCAATTCACCCTGGCTCGTTAATGCGCAATTTACCGGCACTTTAATGTGCTCAGCATGAAAAAGTATGGCTCTCTCCTGCCTGCTAGCTGGCCCTCCCTGGGGAGGGCAGCCCGGACGTGCAGGCAGCACTGGGATGGGGATTTTAAAAGCACAAGGAGGCTGGGAAAACAAGGAGCTGGAAGTAGAGGGGTAGGAGATGGGGGAAGGGTCTGCCTTGGAGGGGCTTGGCAGCTGGGGATCCTGGGGCCTCCTCTATGGGGCCTGGGTAGGGACCCTCCTGGGAGGGGTAGCAACAGAGGGGTTCATCATGCCCTCTCATCCCCCACATCCTGATACTCAGTAACTGTGGCTAGGTAGGTCCACAATTCAATTAATTCTTACCACTAAGCCACCATCAGTCCACACCTGGACTCTTCTAACTGGTCCTCTGGCTTCTGCCCTCATCCATTACCCAATCTGTCTGCCCTCTCTGCAGCAGGCCCAGGGAATCTGTGAGACCCTGAGTTAGGCCCTATCCCATCTCTGCATACATGGCCCCCATCTTCCTCTGGGGAAAAGCCCAAGTCATCTCTGAGGACCAGAAGGACCTGCACAACCTACCCTCACACCTCCCCTTCTTTCCTCCCTCCCTCCACTCCTCAGTCTGCTCTAGTCGCACAGGCCTCCCACTGTGCCTTCAACATGCCATGTAGGGTCTGGTCTCAGGGCCTTTATATACAGGCTGTACTCTCTGCCTGAAATATTTTCCTCTGTCCCAGACAGCTACACTTCCTCTAGTTTCTTTCAATACATCACTCAGATGTCACCTTCTTCTTAGGGAGCCTTCCCTGACCACCATGAACTGCAACCCATGACCCCCTTGCACCCATGGGGCTGGTCTGTTCCACCCCCTCCCTGGCCTTACTTCACACACTGTGTACCAAGCTCTGCTCACCCCAAAGGCAGGGAGCTTTGTCTGTGTTCTTCTTTGCTATTTCCCTGGCTTCTACAATAGTATTTGGCAAGCAGGTGATGGATAAATATCTGTTGAATGAATAACCATGTTCCGGTTGCTTCCTGGCCCCCCTCTATCCTGCTAAGTTGCAGACATGGCCCTGGGCCCCTGCCAGTTACATCTGGCACAGGCAGAAAGTCCTGCCAGCACCCAGGAGAGAGGGCCAGGTGGCGGGAGGACAGGCAAGGGTAGAAGTAGTACTTCAGCTCGAGCCAGGCGCCCCAGGCTGGCAGGTGGGAGCCTGGCTCCACCCCAGCTTGCTCATGATCTGGGTCCTTGACAACTCTCAGACACATGGAAGACCACAGCTTGGCACATCACAGGCCCTTACTGTCTGAAACAACTGACCTACAGAGGATCACTCAGGCCCCACAGGGACCCTCGAGCAGACCAGAAAGGACTAGCCCACCCAACTTCTGAAAGAGACTCAGAGAGAAAGCAGATGTACCCCTGCAATGTGGGAGGCCCACTAACATCTCATAGGAAGCTCCAAGTCAGGGGCTGTCCCTCTTCTACCCATAGCCCTCCATGGCTCCCATATCCCTCAGGGTCAAAGCCCAAGTCCTCTCTACAACCAACAGTGCTACATGACCTGCCCCATCCCTTCTTCCCTCTCTGGTGCCCTTCCAGGAGGGATGGCCACACCCCAACCCCCTGGACACTTACCTGCTTGTGGTGTTCTTCAAGATCATGCTGGACCTTGTGGAGCTACAAAGGAACAATTGACATCATGCTGGGCGGTGGGCCCCAAGTGCAGGTGAGAGTCAGGGTTTGAATGCTGTGTGCTTTACCCTAGCCATGTGACCCTGGCCAAGTCTCTCCACCTCTCTGGTTTCTACTCTTAAATGGGACAGCTCCTACCACACTCAAGATGGGATAAACTGGGAGCTCTCTGGATTTCATTCTTGATGTAAGGTAAAAGTCAAATCCTCACTGCAGTCCACCAGGCCCTCCCCCTCATCCTTACTCTGCTCCAGTTAAAGGGCCTCCTCACTGTGCCTCTAACACCCCAGGCTCTGTCCTGCCCCAGAGCTTTTGCAAAGGCTGTGCCTTCTGCCTGGAGTACCCTTTCCTGTTCTCTCCAAGGCTGGTAGTTTCACCACTGAACGTCACTTCCTCCGATAAGACCTTCACTGCCTTGCCTTGAAAAAGTTTATTTTCTTACTTTTTTCTTTTTGAGACAGAGTCTCACTATCTCACCCTGGGTAGAGTGCCGTGGCATTACAGCTCACAGCAACCTCCAACTCCTGGGCTCAAGCGAGTCTCCTGCCTCCGCCTCCCAAGTAGCTGGGACTACAGGCGCCCGCCACAACGCCCGGCTATTTTTTGGTTGCAGCCATCATTGTTGTTTGGCGGGTCCGGGCTGGGGATTCAAACCCTCCACCTTAGGTGTACGTGGCTGGCGCCTTAGCCGGTTGAGCTATAGGTGCCGAGCCTATTTTCTTACTTTTTTGAGACAGTCCAACTTTGTCATCCTCAGTAGAATGCTGAGGTGTTATAGATCACAGTAACCTCAAACTCTTGGGCTCAAGCAATCCTCTTGCCTCAGCCTCCCAAGTAGCTGAGACTATAGGTACCCGCCATAATGGCAGACTATTTTTTAGAGATGGAGTCTCGCTCTTGTTCAGGTTGGTCTTAAACTTGTGAATGCAAGCAATGCACCTGCCTTGGCCTCCCAGAGTGCTAGGATTACAGGTGTGAGCCACCATGTCTGGACTAAGCTGCATTTTGACGCTCAATAGCTTCATGTAGCTTATGGGTGCCATACTAGACATTACCTAGAATCAGAGCATCCTGAGGCCAGGCACAGTGGCTCATACCTGTAATCCCAGCACTTTGGGAGGTCAAGGCAGGAGGATAACTTGAGGCCAGGAGTTTGAGACCAGCCTGAGGAACATAGTGAAAGCCCATCTCCACAAAAAAATAGAAGGAACAGCCAGGAGATGGTAACATGTCTTTTGTCCCAGCTATTCAAGAAGCTGAGCCAGGAGGATCTCTTGAACCCAGGAATTCAAGGCTGCAGTAAGCTGTGACCTTATTGCATTCCAGCCTGGGTGACAGAGCAAGAGCCTGTCTCTTAAAAAAAAAAAAAATCCCAGGAAGTTCTAGAAAATAGTACCACACTGCAGTGGGCAGGGACTTCGGCTGTGCTGTATCCCTGAGCAACAAACTGTGGCCTGAATGAACACCCACTTTGAATGAGAAATTTCTAGTTTTTGAGGCACAGTTAATACTAATTAAGAAAAACTCACATGAAGAACATTCACTCAATGTGTTAACTCACTTGCTCAGGAATAAAAATAACTGTAGGGGGGAGGTTCCTCCACCAGGCTGCTGAGGATACAGAGAACAGCCTTTCTAAAACGCTTAGTAGGCAGGGTGGAGGGACAGCTTGTCCCTCCTGGGTAGAGGCTACTTGGGTCTGGCTTACCGAGTTACAAATGCCCTCCAACTTTCCAGCCAAATGAGGGGGAAACCTGAGTGGGAAGAAAGAGTTGTTGGAAGATCTACGGCCTCAGGTCCCTTCCCCAGAGCAAGCCCCTCCCTCAACCCTGGAGCAGGGCCCAGTATGGGTGAGAACTTGCTTTAGAAGCCAAATTTAAGGCTCGGGCACCTGTGGCTCAAGTGGCTAAGGCGCCAGCCATGTACACCCAAGGTGGCAGGTTCGAATCCAGCCCGGGCCCGCCAAACAATAATGACAGCTGCAACCAAAAAATAGCCGTTGTGGCGGGTGCCTGTGGTCCCAGCTACTTGGGAGGCGAAGGCAGGAGACTCGCTTGAGCCCAGGAGTTGGAGGTTGCTGTGAGCTGAGATGCCACAGCACTCTACCCAGGGGGACAGCTTGAGGCTTCTGTCTAAAAAAAAAAAAAAAAAAAAAAAGCCAAATTTAAAGTAGTGTCCAAAAAAGTTCAGTACGATTTTTTTTTGTGTGTGTGTACAGTTTTTGGCCAGGGCTGGGTTTGAACCCGCCACCTCCGGCATATGGGGCTGGCACCCTACTCCTTCGAGCCACAGGTGCCGCCCCAGTTCAGTAAGATTTTAATGCAGTATTTCCAATAAAATTAAATGTTAACAAATTTATGCTGAACAAGAAAATCTCAAAATTTGAGACATAGTGTCACTTTGTCACCCCCAGTAGATTGCCATGGTATCACAGCTCACAGCAACTAATTCTTAGGCTCAAGCAATTCTCTTGCCTCAGCTTTCAGAGTAGCTGGGACTACAAGCACCTGACACAATGCCTGGCTGTTTTTGAGATGGCGTCTCCCTCTAGCTCAGGCTGGTCTCAAACTCCTGAGATCAGGCAATACGCCCACCTTGGCCTCCTAGAGTGCTGGGATTACAGGTATCAGCCACTGCGCCAGGCCTGAAAATCTCAAAATTTAAACCAAAGCTAGGATCAGTTATTACTGGGGTGTCCTTTTGTTTCATACTTCTGTATGAATGTCACTCATTGGGTTGGGGCTTCCAGGCCACTCACCCACGTGACCCTGGGGAGAGGGACCAGGTGGGATTCCTTTCTAGTGGGAATGAAAGCCCTTGGAATTAACCTCACCTGGTAAACTGCTTAAACTGCTCCAGGATTCCCTGATAATTTACGGCTGGAGAGCTCTCTGAGGTAGAAATCCCAGGATGAGGCTGGAGAGGTCAAAGAGGAGATAGACAAAATCTACAGCTTTCCAAATGTCCAACCCCCGACCCAGGTCTCCATCCCATTCAGAGTTTTAGGTATAGCCTTGTAGGTGGCAGGGTAGGGTGGGATCGCCTAAACCTGAATTTGCTTTCTCTCCAGTTATTTAAGTACCTAAGGAGTATCTTCCATTTTGCATCTTGGTCTAAGTCTAAAATATTCACCATCTGGCCCTTTTACCAAGAAGAACAACAAAGTTTCCCCACCCTGGGCTAACCTGTTAGAAATGGTCTTCTCATATGGCACACCTTCTGGGTGCAGAACACAACTACAACAGGGACACTCCCAACAAATGCAAACATTGTAACCTAATTGTTAGTACCCTCACATTAATCTGAAATAAAAAAATAGATATGTGGCGGGGTGGGGGTGGAAATGGTCTTCTCTAGAACACTGTGACTGACACCTATAATCTGAGCAACTCAGAAGGATCCCTTGAGGCCAGAAGTTCAAGACCAGCCTGGGCAACATAGACAAAAATGAAAAAAAAAAAAAAGATTCTCAAAAATAACGTGAAAGTGTTTCCTTTGGCAGCACATATACTAAAATTAGAACAATACAGATTAGCATGGCCCCTAAAAAAAGAGAAAAGATGAAAAATGTTAGCACCAGCTACTCAGGAGAGGCTGGGGCAGAAGGATCCTTTGAGCCCTGTCATTCAAGGCTGCAGCGAGCTATAATTGTGCAACCCCTTATCTAAACAAAAAGTTTTTAAAAAGTCATCTCTAGAAGTAAATAAACTGTGTGTGTAGTGGGAAGTGGCTTTTGTTTGCAAAATATTAACTAAATACATGATGTGTCCATGTGTTTTATCACGTGTGATTAGGAGTAAGCTTAATTTTAAGACTACACCTTTCCACCTGAGCTTCACTGTGGCTGTGGTGAATTACCAATTCTATCTATAAGACCTGGCCTGCGCTAGTCCACTTCACAGGTGAATACAAGATCAAAAGGGATCAAGAAAGCTGGGATTGGAGTTTGGGCTCTACACAGGGCTAATGCCACCCCATGTCCTCCTCACCAAAGTTTCTTTGAAGGTAACCCTGGGGCTGGGCTGGTCCCTAGAAGTCATCTTCAGGCTGTAGACTCCAGGACATTAACCAGAGACCCTAAAAAAATAACAAGGAGATGGCAGGTCTTGAGGGCATAACAGTTCCAGGAACAAAACCAACCCCTACCCTCATCAGGGGTAGGGAGAGCCTCCTGCCCCATTCACTTTGGTATCCCTCCAAGACCCACCCTTGGACCCCTCACGCCCTTCCTGACCTGCAGCAGAACCCCACTGCATTCCTTATATCCTTGATTCATTCTTCAATGCCTCTACTGGCCCTGATTAATAATGGGGACCCAAATGGGACTGAGTCATAGTTGCCTCTTTCCCACTAGACCTAACCCTCTGAGGTGGAGGGAGGTGGTGCTGGGAGCAGTTAGGGATAGGGTAGCCCAAAGGTCGCCACAGCTCAACCTTAGTTTTGAGTCAATTTCCTAAAGCATGAGATTAGTGGAAAGGGGTTTTGAAGGATGAGTAAGAGTTAGCCCGGTGAATAAAGGCAATTTATCAGACAGAAGGAGAAAACTTTCTTTCCCATCACTGCTACAGCACCAAGCCCTTCCTTACTTCAGTTCTGTCCTCAACGCCTCTCCAGCCCTCTCCCTGGGTCAGGAACCATGGAGTCCCCTCTGGGAAATGAGTCTTACAACTCACCTCCCCCAGGATGGAGGCGGAAACTGCTGAGGTCGGCCAAGTTCAGGCCAAGATGAAACACCTTCTCCTACCCCAGTCCATCCCCCCTCTCCCCACTGGGGGCCATTTGACCCGTCGGGCCCCGCCCCGCCCCGCCCCGACCCCGCCTCGACCACGCCTAGCCTCCACCTGGACCGCAAAGCGGGTCAATGAACGCCCGGCAGCTGCACGTGGGATCGGGCTACGGGGGAGGCGGCCGGAGGCGTTTACCAATCGTAAGTCCGCATGCCCACGTGGGCCACATCCACTCTCTCTGATTGGTCGGTTTACCCAGGTCGCCGGCCTACCCGTCAATCAACGAGCCGGGAGCCTCCGCTTAACCCTTGCGGTCCCACTGCCCGGAAGCGAGCTTTGCAGAGCCACAGGAAATTTGAGAGTCCCAGCAGGGACGGGGATGTGTACGAGGGCGTGGGGCTTGGGAGGTCACAGTGTGGGACGTGGGGAGGAGTCGGTGACGAGAAGTTGCATTGTTTATTGAGTCTGATAATTTTCATCATCTTTAAAATTCTTACCCCAATTCTTAAATTTGGGCTAATTACTGTTTCCCTCAATATCGAATGAAGTGCAATGCCAAGGAAGCGTCAAGTCCCCTTTCTGGTGAGAATTTACTAGCTGTGGTCTCCTAGATCCTCTGCTTCCTGTGAACCCAGCCCGGAGCTACACATTTATTAGTGAATTTTCCCAACTGCCCTCCCAGCCCTGTGACAAAAGGTTTGAGAACTAAAGCAGAAACAGAAAAGGCTGGAGGCTGTGTACAGTATTGTCAGATTCTAGACGGGGTTGCAAGATAGTAACAGTTCTGAGGTAGGGCAGAACTAGGCTGGTCAGAGAAGCACAGGAGGCCAGTAGGGCTGGATGGGCCTAGAAAGAGATGGGCTTGGAATGATGTCAGAGAGAAGACACCTGGGAGAGAGGGAAACCTCTTGCATGTGGGTGGTGGAGATTAAAAAGGTGTTTTTGCCTAGGTGTGGTGTCTCACATTTGTAGTTCTAGCATTTTGGAAGGCCAAGGCTGGAGGATTGACTGAGGCCAGGAGTTTGAGACCAGCCGGAGCAGGAGCTATATGCTGCCTCTATAAAAGATAGAGAAATTAGCCCAGTATGGTAGTCGGTGCCTGTAGGTTGTTGTGAGCCAGGCTGACATCATGGCACTCTAGTCTGGGAAACAGAGTGAGACTGTCTCAACCCCCCCCCCCCCAAACACAAAAAGTTCCTATTTGGAATATGAATGATCAGTCCAGATCTTTGGACTAAGAGATCTAGTTTTTTCCTGCCCCAGAATTTTTGCACTGTCTGTTCCCACTGCCTGGGACAGTCTCCTTGAATAGGCACTGGCTGGCTCCTTCACTCTGGCAGCTCTCTGCTCAGAATTTACCACCTCAGTGAGGTTTCTGACTCCTTCCTTCCCTGTATCTCCCTCTTATTTTTTTTCTCCCCTCAAATTGGTTTGGATTGGAGCTAATTTTGTAATTTCAGTGGCTCCTGTGGTGGAAGCCTCCCAAGCTGGCTTTTAACCCTGCTGTGTTCAAAATTCATTCTGTCAGGATTCTCTTGCAGAGAGGCATCCCCTCCATCCTGTGACCTCCCAGTGTGACACAGGCCCCCCTGGGTAGGTCTGATGACTTGGGATCCAAACCCCACCAGAGAACTCTTCCTCAGTTTCCCCTGTTCTGGTGGGAACTGGAGGGTTTGAATGTTGGAATGAGTAACCCCTGGAGGTTATAATGTAAACACGTGACAAAGTGTGGGTTTTGCGGCTGGTCTAGGGGGGAGAAAGTGAAGGGGCTGCTGTATAAGAGAAGCAGAAAAGGTTTCCCTTTTTCATCTTTCTCTCACCCTTAACTGAAGTGTATTTTTATTTATGGTCTGGTTTGCTAATTGCTGTCCGCTGTGCTGTGGGCTATGCTCCTCCCCTCTTCTGGGCTGTGGATGTTCAGCTGGGTTGTATCACACCCTACCAACTAGGTACATGTGGCTATCTAAGTGGAAATTAATTAAACTTTAAATTAAAAATTCCATTCTTTGGGTGCACTATCCATGTGTCAAATGCTCAGTATTGACATTGTCTAGGGAGCTGGTCACTGTACTGTACTGGACAGCAAATATCTAGAATATTCCATCATTACAGAAAGTCCCTCTGAACAGTGCTGATCTGAGGCTCTTAGAAAAGAGAAATTCTGGGTTCATATAGTAATCAGAAGCATGTTTAACAGTCTGCATTTCTACTTGTTAAAGGCCCCCCTGCTGTTGGGGTTGGGGTGATATTTGGTGCTTCCATTGTTAGGTTGTCACCCTTGGTTATTCCTTTGTCTGTCGTTACTCCAGCCTGGCCAGCAGAGAGGCCACCTCCCTTGAGCCTTTGAGCTCTGGGCGGGTGACAGATGACACAGCAGAGAGAAGGGGAGGCCAGAAGCTCCTTCCTGTTCTTGGCTTTTGAATTGCTACAGTTTACTTGGAAACTCAAGGTCTGGAGGAACCTTTGAAAGAAAAGGCTTTTACAACCCCAAAGCTTCAGAATTTTTCTTTCTTTATTTAAAAAACATTTGTTTAGAGACTGGGTCTTACTCTATTATCCAGATAGGAGTACAGTGGCACAATCATAACTCACTGTAACCTCTGACTCCTGGGCTCCAGTGATCCTCATGCTTCAGCCTCTGGAGTAGCTGGCACCTGGTGCACACCACCATGCTTGGCTAATTAAAAAAAAATATTTTTAGTAGAAATGGGTTCTGGCTATGTTGCCAGGCTGGCTTCAAACTCTTGACCTCCAGTGAGCCTCCTTTCTTGGCCTCCCGAAGTGCTAAGACTGGAGAGGGAGCATGAACTACCAGACCCAGCCTTGGAAGTTTTGTTTAAAAATGAAAACATCAGGTGGTGCCTGTAGTTCAGGCAGCTAAGGTGCCAGCTGCATACACCAGAGCTGGTGGGTTCGAATCCGGCCTGGGCCTGCCAAACAGCAATGACAACTACAACCAAAAAATAGCCCACTGTTGTGGCGGACACCTATAGTCTCAGCTACTCGGGAGGCTGAGGCAAGAGAATTGCTTAAGCTCAAGAGTTTGAGGTTGCTGTGGGCTATAACACCATGGCACTCTACCCAGGGCGACATAGTGAGACTTTGTCTCAAAAAAAAAAAATGTATTTTCTGGATAGTTCTGGAGGACAGAATCCAGGTGTGAGCAGGCTCATGCTCCCTGGGAAGTCTGGGGGTTGGGAGAGGAACTTTTCTTGCCTCTTCCAGGCTCTGGTGTAGTTGGCAATCCTCCCTGTCCTGTCTCGTGGCTTCATCCCAGTCTCCGCCTCTATCTTCCTATGGCCTTCTTCCCTGTGCCTCTGTCTATGTCTGGATTCCCTTCTTTTTTTTTTTTTTTTTTTGCAGTTTTTTCTCCAAGTCTGGGTTTGAACCCACCACCTCACCACCTCCGGCATATGGGGCCAGCACCCTATTCCTTTGACTCATAGGCACTGCCTTGGATTCCTCTCTTTTTATAAGGACACCAGTCATGGGATCTAGAGGTCACCTTAATCCAGTGGGACCTTATCTTAACAAATTACATCTGCAACTACACTATTTCCTAAAAAGATCACATTCCCAGTATTGGATAGAGGGGGCTATTATAACTTCAATATATCTTTTTGGGGGACACAATTCTACCCACTACAAGGCTCAGAAAAGAAATTAAGTGTTGGCTCAGCACATGTGGCTCAAGTGGCTAAGGCTCTAGCCACATACACCTAAGGTGGCGGGTTCAAATCCAGCCTGGGCCTGCCAAAAACAACAATGATGGCTGCAACCAAAAAATAGCCAGGCATTGTGGCGGGCACCTGTGGTCCCAGCTACTTGGAAGGCTGAGGCAGGAGACTCGCTTGAGCCCAGAAGTTGGAGTTGCTGTGAGCTGTGATGCCACAGAACTTCACCCAGGGAGACAGCTTGAGGCTCTGTCTCAACAACAACAACAACAAAAAGAAATTAAGTGTCAACCTAAATAACAAAGAGAGATGCTCTCTAAAAGAAAATGATACTTCTTTGGGAATGGTGCATTGAATTCGGAATTGTGTGAAGATTCAGGGAGGCAAAGGAAGACAAAGATTTTTAAAGAAAAAATGAGGATTACATAATTGTATTGAGATAATTTTCCTTGGCTACAAGAATCACTAACAAGCGTGACTCTAGTCTGGGGTTGGACCTGCAATTGCTGGGTAGATATCCTCATAAAAGTATATAACCTTGGGGTGGCACCTGTGGCTCAAAGGATCTGTGGATATGGGGAACCAGCCCCATATCCCAGAGGTGGCAGGTTCAAACCCAGCCCTGGCCAAAAACTGCAAAAAAAAAAAAAAAAAA